TCAATTAATTTCAATGGAAGTTCCATTTAAGGTGGAACTGAAATGAAAGACCTAACAACTTTGTTACTTTAACATCAGTCAATGGCACGCCATTCATTTTCAATGGAGTATAGAGCTGTTTATTTGAAATGGAAAACTGCATTGAAACAGTTTTCTTTTCATTAATTGGATTGTTAGTGAAGTAGATACCTTTTTATTATGATAAATAAATAAAGATATTGTCAGGTATCAATATTTTAATTCAACTTATGATCATTTCGATCGCGCATCCTCAGAGCTTGCAGCTTCTGGGCCGAAAACAAAGTTCTGCCTACAATACAATTAAGGGCGGGAATACAATTAAGTTTGTATGTACGCGAATGTTTAATTTATAAATTGATATCACGCGTTGTTATGAAAATTGTGTCTGTTGACATCTGTATCATAGAACATAAAAATATTAATACTCTAATTCTTCGTCGTTTTGCAGCTCTAAATTCAACGCTTCTAATAACAAATTATTACTGTTTTTAATTTAAAACTAGAAAGTATTCATTAAACATGAAACAAAATATTTTAATTTTGTTAAAAGCATTTTATAATAAATAATTTACCTTGTTTATAATTTATATTATATTTGCACTTGAAATTTGCGCTGCGAAGACATACAAATCCTCCGCAATTGCTGTCTCGATCAGCCACTTGTAAAGACGAGAAAAGTATGGAAGAAGAGCTTGACGTCTTGAAATGTAACCGAATTAGGTCAGTGATGATAGCGTACGTGGTGATTAATTAGGTGTGAAAATGTTCATTAATTCCTTTAGTCCAATCACTGAGTTGAATATTAAATTTTGTGAAATCGCTAATTTGGTTTAAATATGCGGGTATTGAGTTCAATATATAGTGAAAGTATAGTATATTCTTGAACTAGCGATTAATAGCAATGACGCGTGAGTAGAAGACTATACTTTCTCTAAGCCCTTGAAATTTTTAGAATAGATTTTACAGTGTTTTGTTATTTATGCTGGCAAACACACGTTTAGCACACACCTTAGCAACCAATGAGCCAACGCTTAAAAAAATCGTCTACAGCAAAGATCATTAAAATGCTCGAGGGTACTTCACGGTATTTTAGTTGACTCTCGAGTTTAGATTTTGCCACTGTTCATAAATCTTTGGATAAATATGTCCCTTTTGTCCTACTTGTCCCTTGAACATTTTGCCCCATTTCGTCAATTTTCTCCATGTACCATTGGTCCCATTTTTCCCCCTTAACCGTTTGCCCCCTTGGATCATTTTCTCCCTTTGCCCGTTTGTCCGCCTGCTCCATTTTTCCACCGTTTCCCATTTACCTTCCATCTCGATTTGACCCCTTGTCCCAATTATCTTCGTATTCTATTTGTTCCCTTGGCCCAGTATGTCCCCTATTTTAATTTTATCCCTTTGTTTCTTTATGTGCTCTTGTCCCATATTGCCCTTTTGTTCTATTTGGTAAATTTGTCCTAGTTTGTCCTCCTGTCCCGTTTGCTGTTTCTCCCATTTTGTCGTATTGTTCCATTTTCTTCCCTGGTCTCATTTTGCTCTCTTGTCGCATTTTTTCTAATTGTCCCACTTTTTCTATTTTTCTAATTTGTCCCCTATTCCCATTTTGCCTCTTTTCTCCCCTTTTCCAATTTTGACCATTTTGTCCCCATTGTCTCATTTTGTTCCCTTGTCCCATGCGTCCTCCTTCCCCTGCTTTGTTCCTCTTATCCTCTGTTCTTTTGATCCTCCCGCGCACTACGATTGTTATTTAAAAACGGTATTGCAAATTGCAATTCTGCCCGTGGATTACGAAATTTCTACGAAATGTGATTGGTCTGCAGTCCGTGAATTCCGAACTGGAATCCGCGGAGTGTGGAATCGATGTCATTCCTTGATTAAATATACCGTAGGGATATACGTGTATTAATAAAGTGTTGTAGAGAAAATTACACAGCAAGATACCGTATTGTGCCGTGGTCTGAATTTATAGTAATCGCGAGGAATGTGATCGATCAAGTATTTGTTGAGAAAAGCTTAAAATTGACAAAAAAGTGCGTGTGATAGCTATTATTCAAAATTTTATGGAGGAGGTGGCTACGTTAAGTTCTTCTTTTTTCGATTGAGAAAATTTTTATTTGACAGTTATACTCAGATATATGATCGTATCTTCTAACATCAACTGTGAAACAGATGCATGCATTTTGTGCTATTTGTAAGGTGGGGCATTATGAGTGAATTTACTAGGCTTATGCGAATGTTAATAAGTAACAGTTCTCTCACGCGTTTTAAGGAATGAAGGACTTCGCAGATTGGTTTGTCAAATCTTACCCACTTGTGTGGTCCAGCTAAGCGTGCGTTCTTGTGCGTCCTACGTTCTTTACTTTGCTCGTTCAGGGAACGGGAGAGCCACTTATGTTAATTTCCAGTAGGGAGGACTGATGTTATTGTTCAAAGCGTTGCGTGAGCCTATCACCAAGTTTTGCGGCTTTACTAGATTTAATGAGAGATCAAGGGCTTCTGCCCTTTTATTGAGAACATTTAAATCATCGTTTATTTACTGGGCTAATGAGTTTAACCCCGATGGGTATACACTTATAGAGATCTGGAGGTCGTCAGCGTACATTTTGTGTTTACAGTAACAGGGGCATTGTCCTACGTCATTTACATAAATTAAAAATGCTGAAGATCATAGAACTGTGTAAATCTGCGCAATACCCGCACGTTTCAACGGCAGTGGATGGCTTTTCGTCAGATACAACGACTTGTCGATTTCAAAGATATTGAGGGAGCCATCGCATTGTGGATTTATCGAAATACAAATATTTTCATTTTTTCATGCACAATTTCGTGATCGACTGAGTCAAATGCTTTACTAAAATTTATAAGAACACAAATTGTTAATTTTCCTTTGTTAATGGAGGTTCTATTCTCCTCAATAATATTTAAGAGAACAGTTCGTGTTGGTTTTCCCCGATCGGAAGCCATATTGTTGATCACTTACGAGGCTTTTGCTGTGTAACTTATAATTTGATGTAGCGCAATTTTTTCTACAACGTTTGAGATTCTAGTTATTACTAATCTGTATTCTGGAGGATTTTTGTTAGTTTTAGGAAGAGGATAAACAAGTTCGTTATTCCAAGAGATTCGATACGTTCTACTTACAAGAAAAAGTTTATTATGTTGGTTACACTGGGGTATACAACTTCTGCACTGAGTTTTAGTAATTTAGCATTTTCATTATCTGTCCCGGAGGCGTTTGATTTGAGACTCTAAATGGTTTTGAAAATATAATGATTTGTAATAGATTCAAAAAAGAATTCTTCTTATGGGTGTACCGAAATGGATCGTAAGATTCAGAGAGTTTGGTTTTTTGAGAAATAATCGAAGTAAGAAGTCATGTTAGCAAAATGCTGGTTAAGAGTGTCAAAAGACACATCAATATGCGTTGTGGTTCGTAATTTGCTTATACCTAAGGTGTGCATCGATTTACGTACTTGTTTTAAATCTGTTTCTGCCAAAAATACAATGATAATATTTAATTTTAGTGTACATAGATTTTTGCGTTACAAGATGTCTCAGTTTCTTGAATGCATCTCTGTCACGTTCGCACTTTGTGTTACGAAATACATCAAAGGTGGCACCTCTCTGTTTCATGAACACGCGTATTTTAGCAGTTAACCAGGGAGCGCGGGAGGGGCGTGCCGCACGAGCCTCCCTAATTGGAATGTTCCAATCAATACATTTAGCACTGTCACTTCCAAAAGATGAAAGTAAAATTCAGGAATTCTTGTTTAAGATATTTTTTATTATTGCACATATTTCACGCAATATTGCGCAGAAGCAAATAAAATTTTCAAAAAATCGTTACTGTCATCTTAAAGATATACATGACATTAATGAAAGAACTGATCATAGAGATCAAATTTCAATAACATTACGTCCCATATTCCGGACGGTATGGCATAATGAGTGTTTGTACGGGGAATGCTTCATGAACCGAACAAAATGACACTAACCCCCTTTTGATTTATTCTTTAATTTTTTCAAAATTACACAAACATTTTTTAATTGTATCATACGGCATTAGTACAGAGTTTTTGTTCATTATCACATTCATGAGTACAAGTGCTTCAAATGATATCTGAAGAAGTTTTTCGAAAAGTCAAAATTTTTCTGTGAAAAAATATATCAGAATTGCACATGTTTAGAAACGCTTAAATATATTTTTTTCAAAAATTTCTCTAAATTTCTTAACAGAACTGTACATATACGACAAGGTTTTGATATTCTATAATAGAACGTAATCTTAAAGTGCTTAACAAATAAATTTCTGTAATGAAAATAGTGCTCACTTCAAATAACTATTGAATACATAATTTTATTTAATATATAGCAATTGCACGCACATTCTCAGTCTTAAACGCTGATTGTGTAAGAACACGTCCTGACATTGTGAACAGTACACTTTCTTGTCCCAACGGAAATAAGATAGCGCACTGTCCTGTGTCTGTCTTGCCTGTCCTCGCGCGTCTTCATGAGAATCGTTCTTTGTAGATAGTGTAGAAGCCAGCCATTGTCTTGCGGAATGTCAGCCAGCAATCTCTTCTCCTTACACGGTTCTCTAGACCAAGTGGGTCGGGCATGCGCAGAAGTTGCAACGTACTACATCCGATTCCCACTAGTCTCCCGTGCTCTTGGTGACAAATATGATTGACTTGTTTCTTTTCGCAGTTCCAAATTACCCTGTTTTTACGTGTACATTTAACTACGCATTTCTATTTGGTGCACATAATACATATTTTCTCAGCTATTGCTGTATACTTTTGTTTTGAAGATAATAGAGAAAAAGCTACAAGTCAATAATTGACATTTCAAAATACATTTAATTATTAAATTCGTTCTTTCACAGGTAATCGGCCAGCAACATTAAACATTGAACTCTAATCAAGCAGTAGAAGTGATTTTGAGTAATTCGTACACTTTACTTTTCATCAATCATGGCCTCAGTTCAAACGAGACCGGAGCAGCAACTAACACCGCAACAAGACCAGACGCAGTACATGGACGACAAGTTGGGGCGCTCTTTGCCTACTATTGCAGATGATGAGGTACGTTCTTACTGTTTCACCAAATACGGCATAACGCTATAACAGTAATGTGTTTTGATTTTGAATTTGTGCGTTCCTTTTCTCCGATCAATGACTGAAGCAATTGCAATTAAAGCACTGCAATACTTTTTTCAAGTTAGGGGAAGTGATATCATCATCCGTTAATAAAATAGAAGTTGCTGCATGTTTCGAAACATAAAGTATTGACGAAAAATAAATAATGGAAAGAGAATCTTAGAGCTACTACAATAATTTAGACTAAAACGCTGGAGACTGTCTGCCCAAATGAAAAAGTTAATTTTCATTTTCATGGGAATTCAGAGTCAAAATTATTTAATAGAAACACTGCGCATTAAACCAAAAGAGATGTATACATATGTAGCCATTTTTGAAAAAATGGCGTTTGAGCATTACTGAAAATGTAAGTAAGTGCTCAAAAGTAATTTTGAGCTACTTTCTACAGAAAAGGGTGAAGTTTTCGACAAACTTTATGTGACAATATTTAAAGCACAGATACTCATAAATATAATAATATGAACAAATTGCAGCTAATATAAATATTAACGAATTGGAAGTCATGTAAAAAAGTAACTTTTTATAAATGTAAAAAAATAAATGCATGTATGCATGCTTGTAGAGCAATATGGTTTTATGTCATCTTATAGAGCACATTTAGCACTATCGCTACAAAAATTTTGAAGAAAACATTTGGAGCCGTTTAAATAAAATCTTGTTTTTGTAACTTTTTAAAATTGCACATATTGGTCGCAATGTTGTGCGGAAACTACTAACATTTTCAAAAAATGTACATGACCTCAATGAAAGAAATCACTATGGGACAAATTTTATTTGAAGGAAAAATCTCTATCTTCAATATTGTAGTTGTAGGAAGACGCCCAAAAAATTTTGAAAGTTTCGAAATATCGATTACGCATACCCGTGGATACGTCCGCTAACTTTCCAATACCGCCCTCGCTTTTACATGAGAACTCTACTTTTGTTTTGTCATATGTATGATGATTTTAGTTGGCAAGTCATGTTACAAAGAAAGACATCTTTTAGCGGTCCCGTTTTCTCTGTCCAATAAACATACCCGGACAGACTCCAAAATAAGGCAACTTCCCTATTAATCGGTTAATTCGTCAAACTCGGATCACCTTACGTGCGTACCTTTGAACACTCTGTTTGCAATATGCTGCAAAGAAGGACCACCTTTCGCTTAAAAAAACATTACACTACCACGTACGACCAAATTGCCTAACGCGCCTGAACCATCCAATAAATCAATCTACGGACAGTTTCACCCATGTTTTTAGACTTTGTGTGCGAATCATAATTTATTCTTAATTTAACTAGTAAGAATTTTGATTAATTATTTTACATTGTTTCTCAGAACGTCGATTTCTGTTAAGTTCGGTGGAGTGGCCCCTCCACTCCTCCATACCTCCCAATATGTATTTAGCGGAAATCAAAGCCGTCTTTTTCTTTCAATTTTGAAGGTCCAAACCGTCTTTCTTCTTTTCAAATTGAAGGGGAAAATCAAAGCCGTCTTTTCTTTACATTTGAAGGGCAAATCAAAGCTCTTTTTCTTTCAAATTTAAGGGAAAATCAAAGCCGTCATTTTTTCTTTCAAATTTACAGGGGAAAATCAAAACGCCGTCCTTTTTCTCATTCAAATCTGAAGGGGAAAAATCAAGCCGTCTTTTCTTTCAAATTGCAAGGGAAAACTTCAAAGAGACGAATTTCAAATTTCTGTTTACCATTTAAATTGTAAAAAATTTTCACTACATTATTCTATGAACTTTAGAAGTTACATTATTTGCATACGAAAATTATTCGCGCTTCTCTTTTATATATCAAACACATTTAACAATTTTTGCAAATAAGATTTTGCTACTCCATGTACGGCTATAAACTTGTAAAATTCAACTGCCTGTGAGCCGATCTTTCCAAAAATAGTCAATGCATACACTTTTGAGTCACACCAATCCGAGACTTCATTCCTGGAATTTACATTCACGGTATATTTCTCTCACTCAAATGTCAGAGGTACTTACCAAAACGGAACTTTTTGTGAATAGCTAGCGACCATAACACATTATCTGCGGCCTGCATTCTCTTATGCACATGCTTTTCTTTAAACTTTATGTAAGAGTACAGATGAATTACACTTATACAAGTGGATAATACCATTTTCAGTTGTTAACGCCGAC